TCCTATTATTATCCTCATTTTATAGTTGAGGAAACTGAAGCAGACTGAGGTTAAGTGATTTGCTCAAGGTCACACAGCTATTAAGTATTCGGCAGAATTTGCACTCCAGTCTTCACGGCCCCAAAGCTAATACTGTATGCCCTGTGAGCACTTGGGTAGCAGGATACTGCCTGAACCTACCTCACAGCATCCCTGTGAGGATTAAACACAGGTGAAGTACTTTGTAAACCTCCAATTGCTATGACAGCATCATCATTGGCATTCCTTCCAATGATGAGGCATTGCAAGAGTGTGACTGGTCAGAGCACCGAGGACACGGTGACCTTCAGCCAAACAGCCATTTTGCCCCTTGTTGGCTAAGCTGACATGGCAATGCGGCTTTCAGCACTTATTGTGGCTAGCCTGCTCCCTGGACAACAGAAGTACAGCTGGGGAGGACTTGGCCCAACCCAACAGATGTTTGTACATACCCTTTGCCTGCCTAACCTTCATACCTGGCCCCCTTGGTCACCATGTCCAGAGAGGATGGCCATCTGAGGAAGACCTTAACGAAGGGATATACACACATACAGGTACATGCAGCTCACATGTGCGTGCACACACACATGGAGACATCCCCTGGAAATAGACACTTGCTGGACCAGGAGTCCTAACAGTCCCAGGTGAAATGCCAAATTTCATACTTTAGTTACCAGAGAGAGGGGACCGGAGCATCTTCTTCGCACATATATCCTCGTAAGCATGTGTGCACACATGTATGATACGTAGTATTCTGAGGGAGAAAATAAATGGGCCAAGTGTTCTCACAGCTGGTACCCGTCTCCCATTTAAAACATTCTTCTGTATCAAAAAGCCCTCTGGTGGTTAATTGGAGGGGCTGGGGGTTGGAGCCTCAGAGTTTACATATGGCAAGGTCCTGACTCACTTAGAATCCTTCCCTCCCTGGGAGCGGCCAAGGGGATGGCTAAAGCCAATGCAGGCAGCTCTAATAATCATTCTTCCAGGATAGGTGCAGAGAAGTGAATAACTAAGCACCCTGGGAGGTCTCAGAGGATACTAGGTGTGGGGGTATGGAAGAGAGGAGGAAGGAGTCCTTGAGGGGTATCATTTGATTGAGCTTTAAAGGATGGGCTAGAGTTCACCAGGGGAAGAGAGGGAAGAAGGGTGTTCAAGGCACAGGATGTATATGGGGGCTAAGAACTGTCCAGGCTGATTGGGCCATATGGCATGTGGAGGGAAGCTGGGGTAAGAGAAACTAAATTTGGAAAGGATACTTGGCATCAGGTTTCAAAGAACTGGACAGAGTTCACTCGTCACTCCTGTGCTCAGAAATCAGCAATGTGTCCCTATTGCCAAGCAAGGAAAGTTCATCAAACATTTATTATGAATGCCTGGGAAAGAATAGTTTGACTATGGTGTGAAGGATGGACTGGGAGGGGGAGAGTGGAATTATAAAAACCTATAGGGAAGTTATTGCAATAATCTAGGCAGGTATAAATGAAGGTCTTAACTGGAACGGGGACAGAAGGAAGAGAGAAGAGGGAATGGCTACAAGAGATGGGGGGGGGGCTGAAATGGATAGGACAGAACTGATTGACTGTTCAAGGGGAGAGAGGAAGAAGCCCAAAGTTCCAAGCACTGGAGAAGGGGTGAGCAGTAGGACCACACAGAAAGAGGAAAGGTAGAAGGGATGAGCAGGTTGGAGGGGAAGGGAAAAATAGTGTCGTGAGGGCATCAAGGTTCAGATGTCCTGCAGGAAGTCATGCCTAGATGCATGCCTAGAGCTTGGAGGCCCACCTGAGAATAGAACCACTGGGAAACCTTGGTGGGCCTGTCCCTGTTGTTAGTCGGTTGAGTTCCCAGAATCCTCCCTTCAGTTCTCATCATCTGCACTTGTGTTTGCTAGACAAATATCCGCCTGGTTTGCTGCCTGCTTACAAACAGATCTAGGTTCCTTGCCAAGATGTTAACAAGTGTTTAGCAGTCCTCAGACAAGATAATTATTAGGATAAGGTTAGGGACTGGACCTGAGATTTCACTGGGATAAGGAACTCCCAGGGGAGAGGAAACTCCCTCTTCCAATGCAATTGGGCCCTTTCTCTGTAATTTAGTCATACAGAGTTGACTAGAGCACTAAAAGATTAGGTGACTTGCCCAGGGTCACAAACACACACAGCCAATGTAAACTGCCTGCCCACAACAGGCCAGAAATAGGAGCTGGGCACAATAATCTCTTATTCTGCAGTGAAACCATTTCTTATGTCTAAGCTTCCAAACTTTGCTTAAACTAATTTGCAGGCCAGGTTGAGGGATTTATAATAGAGAGAGAAAAGTGGTACAATGAATGGGGCACTGGGCCTAGAGCCGGGAAGGACTGGGTTCAAAACTGGCCTTAGACACTTAATAGCTGTATGACTCTGGGCAAGTCACCTAACCTTTATGGGGGGGGGGGGCTATAAATGTGGAAAATTACAGCACTTTTTGCTCAGAGATATTGGGAGGATCAAATGAGATATTTGTAAATCACTCAGCACAGTGCCTTCCCCTTCCCTTATTCCAAAGGCCACAGAGAGCAACGAAATATTTGTGAGTGAGGATGGGATCTCATAGTCAGATCGGTATCACTGTACTACTGTAGTGTAGGGTGACCTGGTCACCTCTTTGCTTAGTGCTTACAACTGCTTTTTTTTTTATCAGTGTTAACATTAAATTTTGACATGCATTGACCAGATGATTGTCACCACACCCTTCAGTTTACATTGACCCATAATTCACATTTCTCAGTTCCAGGAAACATGTAAAAGAGGGTCTTGGGATATAACTACCACAACACAGGAGCCTTGGAGCAAGAAAGACCTTGGTACCGTCTGCTATGCAGTGAGATCTTCCTGATGGGGCCATGAGCAAGGTGTCCCCACCCCTGTAAAACAAGGGTGTTGGATTCAGGAGTAGGGAACTTGTAGCCTCAAGGCCACATGTGACCTTCTAGGTCCTTGGGTGTGGCCTTTTGACTGAGTCCAAGCTTTACAGAACAAATCCTTTTATTAAGGGGGTTTGTTCTATGAAGTTTGGATTCAGTCAAAGGGCCGCACTTGAGGACCTAGAAGGCCACACATGTCCTTAAGGACACAGGTTCCTCACTCCTGGATTAGATCAAGGATTCCTAAGATTTTGTGTGCCCCTTTTTTGCCTCTGTCCCTCTGGCAGTTTGCTGAAGCCTGTGGACTCCTGCTCAAAATCCTGTTTTTAAATGAGGAAATTAAATACATGAGATTACTAAGGGAAACAATTATATTGAAATCTAATTATCAAAATATTTTTTTAAAAACCCTAGTTGATGAAGCCCAGGTTAAGATCCCCTACCCTAGAGGATTTCACAGGTCCCTTCCAACTCCCAGTCTCTGAACCTGTCTGATTTCAGGCGTAGGCGGCTATCAGTGTAGACACACGCTTGATGGCGCGCACACACAGGCACACGCACACACACACACACACACACGCACACACACACACACACACACACACACACACACACACACACACACACCAAGCCCCATCCTGAGTGCAGGGAGAGATGTTAAACATGGTCACGCTAAGGAGGTGAGCCTGGTGTGGGCCCAGATGTTCTCATCACCCAGTCTGAGAACAGGCACCAAGGCTGGCCCCTCCCAGCCCCCTGTTTCCCTGGGCTCTCTGACCCGTTCGCAGCCTAAGGATGGTTCAGTTCACCCTGCAATGCCAAGCAGTATTACTGGGAGCAGGAGGGATGGAGCCCTTCACACGCGTTCAGAAAATTTCCCTGGCTTAGTGTGGATACATATATCCTCTCGGTGGGAGAGTGGGGTGTGGGTGTCGACACATCTCTGTACATTAGTGGTGACTTTAACCCTTTAGCAAATGCCTCTGAGGGAAAGGGGGGGACCCTGGGGCTATTTAACTCCTTTCTCATCTCAGAAATGCAGAGACTTCCAAAAAACTACTGGAAAAAAGGAGGGACTTAGGACCCTGGGAAGAAGCCTGTAGCATCACTTTCTCCCTCTCTCCTGTGAGTGTGTGTGAGTGTGTGTGAGTGTGTGTGTGTGTGCGCGCGTGTGCGTGCGCGCTCGCGTGCGAGTGTGTATGTGTGTGTGTGTGTGTGTGTGTGTATGTTACCCTGTTCCTTTTTTGCCAAGGAGTAGGTTAAGAAATGCCCAACTTTTGTTCTTGTCTCTAGATAGATGTCAAAGAGGATCTGGCCAGGGCTCGGGAGGGAGGAGGGAGGACTTTCGAGAGTGGGGAGGAGCGCAGGCAGAAACAAGCGCTGAGGGGCAGGCAGAAGGGAGGAGGGACACGCGCCTGGACCGGGCACTGCCTCAGCAACCGGTGGGGCTGCCGGTGGGAGCAGCTCTGTCTGCCCGCACCTGTGTGCATCGGCCGCAGGGACCCAACTGCTGCTTGCCAGTGCCAGAGAACAGACAGAGGGAGGACCAGACACCCGGGCCTCGGGCTGGGGGCTTGCCTGCCAGCAGGAATTTGGCCACTGGTGAGTGCTGCCACCCCGCTCCCCGCCCGACCCGGGCTCCAGCCCCGGCCCGGGGGTGGGGGGTGGGAGCAGCGCCTAGGGAAGAAGAGAGCTGCGGAACGGCGTGGGAGTCCTTGACCAGCTCAGAGCCTCCCAGTGGCTATGCTCCATTCTGAACTTGGAGTCGCCTTTTGGGGGCTGCTGCCCTTTGGGGAAAAGGCCACTTCCTTAGGCTTTCTGCCTCTTCCTTCCCTTAACTCAGTGGGCTCCCTCCCTATCTCCAACCTGACTCCCACCCCCCCACCCCCAGCCGCAGCTCCCTTGGACGCTAGTGATTTCCATTGGGTGAAGGAGGCGGGGGGAGGGAAGGAGGCGGGAAGGAGGAGGAGGAGGAGGAGGAGAGGGGAGGGGAGAGGAGGTGGGGGGAGAGTTGGGATCCTTTCAAAACCCAAACCTCACGCTGAGCCTCTCTCTCTCTGTGGACATTCTGCCTCAGAGACAGGGTCTGCCTCTGGTCTCTAAGATGTCTGGCAAACTTCTCCTGATATACCTGGCCATCTACCCGGCCCTCCAAATCAGGTGAGAGGATTGACTTCCATATTCAGACCCCAGCATCCCATCTCATCCCACCCCATCCTACCCCTTTCATCAAGGAGAGAAATTGATAAAAACCAATCATTCTCTCCTGTCACCCCATCTCCCCTATTCTGACCCTGTTTGTCTGTCCTGAGTCCTTCTCCATTTCTCATAACACGCTAGTCCTGGGAGAGATCTTAAAAATCATTTTACCTCTCATTTTTACCAGTGGGGAAACTGAGTCCAACCTCCCAGTTGATGCTTCCTTGTTTTCCTAATGAAGGGTCTGCCTGATGCCTTGGTGGGGGGGGGGGTTCAGGGTGGAGGGCGAAAACGTCCTCTCAAGTCAGGGAAAGCGACGACAGGGAAGCCCCGTGAAGCCCCAAGGGCCAAATCCAGCTGTCCCCAAGTGGCCTGCCCCTCTTGGCCTCCCCAGCTTAAGGCAGGGGATTCGGATAACGAGAGAGCTGGGGAAACAGGGGAGAGTTGTCCTGGGGCCAAGGCAAGGGGGGCAGTCCATAGGTCCAGTCTCCCAGCTACCAAGAAGTCCGAAGCTGAGTTGGGGAGGGGATAAGAGAGGAGAAAGGGGAATAGCTTCCAAACAGTGTGGTAATGTCACTGGGCGACAGCTCCTTCTCTGTGGCCGCGTTGCTTTTTTTCCCCCCCCCTGCCTGCGTGGCGGGGGGCCTCACCAGCCCGCCGCCCAGCCCCGCGCCCCGCCGTGCCTGCCCCCATACTCACCAGCGCGCCTATGCCTCAGGTTTCGCTCATCTCTCCCTCCCATCCCATCCTCATAGAGACTCTCTCCCGAGCCTCTGGCTGGGAGGGCGGCCGGGGAGGGGGCGGGAACGTGCATCCTTTCTGCTTCCTCCAGCCACAAACTGCGGCCCCTAGAATTCGTTTCCACATTCTCCAAGTGGGTGTAGTGGCAGAGCTGCCTTCGGATTGTTAGTCTCCCCTCGGTTCTTCCCCTGGCCCTCTGAGTTTCCAGGGGGAGAACAGATTGACCCTGCTAGCCCTTGCCTTGCTCCTTCCCTTTAAAAAGGGACAAAGAGAGGCTTCGGATGCATGTGCCCAGCCAAACTCCCCACCAAACGAGACTTAGTCTTGTCTCCTCCTATGTGCCCATTTAGTTGTTCAAAGCACCAGTCTCTCTGGCTGGGACCCGCAAACTGCTTGGGTACAACCTGCCCCCTCCCCCGCACCCACAATGATGGGTGAAGGACAGGCTGGGGGGTTGTGGGTCACCAGGACTCAGCACCTCCTCTGGTTCACCTGAGTGTCTCTGAGGGAGAGTGGACCCAAGGGGATTTGCCTGCCCTGTGCTTACCTGCCCTCCCACAGGGAAAGGCCTGTAGCTAGCTGGACCTCAAGTTCAGTAGTGGGGGGGGGGGGGTGAAACTTGACTAAGATGTCTACCACGGGACTTTGAGACCCTGAAAGGGAGGCTAGGGTGCTCCCTGCTCTGCCAAAGATGCCCGTCTGGCCATCGGCCTGTTGCTCTCTAGCTTCTCTCCCTCCCACTTCACCAGTAGCGCCCCCTTGCCCCTCCCCGTTCCCCCTGACGTTCTTAGGGTGGGGCTGGTGGGTGCAGATGCCAGCTCTGTACTGAGGCCAGCCTTTGCTGTCAACAGCTCCTAGAGTCCAGAGCACATAGATTTTCAAGTTTTTTTTTACTATTCCTAGCCCTGCTAGTGAGCTTAATGGCTGGATCGGGGAAAGAACATGTTGTCAGCAGATCATTACCCTCAGGGCTCTAGGGAAGTGGGATTTTACTGGCTGGAGCTAATTGGCAGAATAAGGCAACTTAATGCCCATCAAATCCCATTACCAATGCAGGCAGATACTGGGACAGGGACGGGATTGGGATGGGGATGGGAAGGCTAGGGGCTCCTCTGGGTGTGACTGTTGCACCAGGCTAGGTTGTGGCCTGGCATCCTACGCTGGATGGGTCTGGAGCCCAAGAGGGCCCTCCAGAGGCTGGGCAGGTTGCTGTTCCAGGGCATAGGCTGTCCACTAAGAATCCTCCTGAGCTCTGGGCTTGCAAACCCCCTTCCTCCCCTGTCCCCATCCCTCCCTCTGTAGTGCCTCTGCTCTGATTGATTTTGATCCTGTCTGGCCCTGGGCTAGGACCGTTTGCTCCTCCAAGGCCCTGATCACCATCACTTTAGACAGCTCTGGAATGTCAGGCTTCAAACCCCTGGGGGGACCCTTCAAGGTAGGGTGTGGAGAGTGGGGAGGACTTTACCTTCCTTGTTGCCAGTGGCATCTCTGGTTTGACACTAGCAATGGTCCAGCCATCCCTTAGTCCCCCAATGTAGCAGATCAAGCATTGCCAAAGAGCTTCAGAGCTTTGCTGTCCAAGCTGTTGTGCATAACCCTGGCCCTGGGCACCCACCTGCTCCTGCACTCACCCTCTTCTTAGGAGGGAGATGTTCACACTTGGCCTTTCTGCTGGGGCATCTGAGTGGGTCCCTACATATGTACTCACCCTTCTGGGCCAGTGATTTGAGCTGGAAGGCTTCCTCTTGGCCATCCCACAAATTCTGGCTGATAGCCATTTGGTGAGGGAGTGAGACCCTATTTTCTCCTAGAACATGGTGTACCACTAGTGGTACCCTCCAAGGTGGCGAAGGAGAGGCCCAGGGATAGAGCAAAGCCTGGTTTGAGGTCTGGTTCTACACACCCTAGGTATCCTCATACATCTGATCTCAAAACACCCTAGGCCAATTTAGATTGGCATGTCTACCCTACTTCCTTCTCCCTGCCAGGGATGAGGAAACAGGTACTTTGAGCTCCACTCAGTTTTCCATCCCTGAAATAGGTTGGGTTTGCGCAGTGGTTACCCCCAGCAGCTGCTAATTTCCTCCTGCCAGTCTAGGCCCACAGTGCTGTTATCTGCCACCAAATGAGTAGACCTACACCAGTGACTGATATCTCCAAGATAACGTACACGAGCTGCCTAATTACTGCTTTTTACTAATAAAAGAACAGGATGACTGAGTGAACAGATCCCTTCGAAGAGATGAGTGACATATACTTCAAAAGAGCCATAATTTATCAGTGAGGGCACCCTTCTAGCAGTGCAGATCAAAAGCCTTGCAATGCCTTGGGAGATGGTGCTTGTGAGTGGTTGTGACCCCAACCCTTTATCCCCTGGTAACTGACCTGCTACTGAGCCACCCTCACATTTCACCAGGCTGGTGTGTCAGCCACAACAAGCATGGGTTGTGGCCAAGCTGGTAGCTGAACCCTTCCCAGCTGGGTAGGCTTTCCCAGGCCTTCATTGTGATGGATTAGCCTTCCTTTACCCAGGCTTACTTCCAAGCTGTGATGAGGTATTGGAGAAGGCCTTTAGTATCATAAAGGTGAAGATTTCAAATGAAAAACTGAAAATTGAAGAATCGTCTGCTCTTTCTATAGGAGGTTCTCCACAGCAACTGTTCCAACCCTCTTCATCGCCCAACAAGCCCCCCTAGGCTCCCTCTTTCTCAACAAAGGGCCTCCTCTTCTTTGCTGATAGACTAGAGCAGTGGTCTCCAAAATAGGGCTATCCCACCAGGGGTTGTGGTATGGTGGTGTGGTGGTGTGACCCCAAGGGGTATATAGTTAACCAATCATTGGATGGGAAGATGGGTCACAACCTCACCCTCCTGTGAAAGCCAACCACACCTACCCTGATCCCAGAACACTTCTCCCCTCCTCCCCCTCCTTTTGCTATTAAATTTCCCACCCTCCCTCGCTCCTGAGCTGGACATTGGCCCCTCACAATAGTTATAATCGAATCTTTATCCAGGTGCCCACTATACCAGCTGTGAAGGTACCACGAGAAAATCCTTCCCCCAGCATCTCCACCCTCTCTTCCCAGATCACCTTGCTGCCACAGGCACCCCATGGGGGCTCTGGGTCATTGACCCACAGTGAGTAAGAGCCCCCTCTTTTCATTTTGGGTAGGACAGACTGAGTTATACAATACGAGCAGGCATGTACAGGGTGTGATCTACAAAGATTTCTTTATGTCCCCTGCCCCCAGCCCTCTTCCAGACTCATCATCTCTATCCTGGACTATTGCTGTGGCCTCTTAATTAGACTCCCAGTCTGTCTGTCTGTCTGTCTGTCTCTCTCTCTCTCTCCTAATCCATTTCCACACAGCTGCTAAAATAATCTCCCTACAACCCAAGTCTGATCACTGTCATCCTCCTGCTAAAAGACCTTCTATAGCTCCTCATTGCTTCTAGGATAACATACAAGGTTCTTAGTTTGACAAACTGGTTTCAATAGTATATACGTTTCTAGGATTCTTTCCCATTATAGTCTATGTTCTAGGCAAACTTCTGCTTTGGGAACTCACCATTCCGCACCTTGCCTTTGTCCTACCGTACAGGCTCTCCATTATGTATGGAAGGCTCTCCCTTCCCACCTCTGCCACTTAGAAACCCTGGCTTTCTTCAGGTGCCAGTTCCTGTGGGAAGATTGCCTTGGTTTCCCTTATATGCTAAATTTCCCCTTGAGAGTAGGGAATAACATCTAGTCAGTTCCTTGCACGTAGCAGGCATCTACTGAATGCTTATTGGATCTTATTGATTATCAATGAACTAAATTTTGTTTTACTTTGACTCTTTCTAGAGGCCTGAGAAGGTTGTGCTTACCTGGGGCTGCTGCCTGAATATTTGCCTTTGCCTTGTTCCTTTTTCTCCTGACTCCCTTTGTGGGCTTCCAAAGCCCTTAGAGGCGGTCCTTTATTTAGCTTCCCAGTCTGGTCAAAGGGAGGCATGGCCTTGGCCTCCCAATGAGGCCCAGTGAATCCCCAAGGTATCTGCTCTTTTAGTAGCTGAAGCAGAGTCAATAATGCCAAAGCATGGCTGGTCTTGGTCCCCGCTCTGGTGTAGTGGAAAGTGTGAGAGAACCTCATGGTTCAAACTGTAGAAGACAGCCAAGAAAAGTAAGGTGCCGTATGTCTAGAATCACCCTCTGGTCATTTGTTTTTTTTTCTTTTGCCAATTAGACTAATGCTTGCTCTTGCTACTATAGCAACAGCTACCAGTGAGGGCCCTAACTTTGAAAGCCACTTGCTAGTGTGAAAGTTATTTTGCATACAATTGTAAGAAGATACCTTTGGAGAGCAGGGAGGGTGATCATAGACTTTAACTGAGGGATTTTGGGATAAAGAAAGGCAGATCATTATGGGGAAGAGGATTTGAGAAAGAGAGAGATGTTAGGGAGGGGCCCTTGTCTCACCCTGTGTTTCTTGACCCTAGCAGTGACAGCGCGGAGGAGTACGACTATGATTACCTTGGTGTCAACAAGACCTGGGTCTTGACTCCTAGGGCACAAGAGACTGATGCCACCCAGATCTTGAATACTCTTCTGAAGGACTATGACAGCAAGCTGAGGCCTGACATTGGAAGTAAGTACCAGAGAAGAACCTGTCCTTTTTCCTTAGACCAGAGTGGAGGGAAGGAGTGGGGAGAGAAAGAGAAACTTCCCAAATGGCTGTGGGACTGGATTAGAGCAGCCCAGGAGAGTGAAAGATAGAACAGTGCCTGAGTGGTAGGGACTCAGCACTAGCAGGCAGAAGTCACCAAGCAGCAGACTGGGACCTAAGGCAGATCTTCTAGACCAAAAGGGTAGGTTAAAATCCAGGCCAAGCACCACCTTCTACATGAAGCCCATTGTGATTTCCATCCCCACCCCCAGCTGCTGCCCCCAGCTGCTGGTGCCTTCCCTTCCCAAATCCCTCCCCATTCATCTTGTATTTGCTGTATAGTCACAAACTGACTTTTCTATTAGAATGCAAGTTGCTTGAGGGCAGAGAGGTTGCTTTGGTTTCTTTTTTTGCCTTTGTATCCAGTGTCTTACACATAGTAGGTACTTACATTCAAGTCAGTATGTTTTCCAACTTGAATATTTGACAGACCAGTATGATGATTGAAGTACACGTATGTGGTCTTCTTTCCCCACCATCTCCCTTTCTGACTGTGACATTGCTGGCCTTTTACCTTCGCTTGTCTTGCTTCCCTTGCAGTCAAGCCTACCAACATCGACGTTGATATCTACGTGAACAGCATTGGGCCTGTTTCTGTCATCCAGATGGTGAGTACCAAAGGCACCAGCTGGGGACTCCCTGGCCTGGTGAAGCCCTGTTTGTAGACCTCCCAAGCTTGGCAACAAGCTTTGGGGCTACTTTGCTCTGCTCTTTGTATCTAGAACCATACCAGAAGTTTCCTGGGGTGTGTGTGTGTGTGTGTGTGTGTGTGTGTGAATTTTAGCTGGCTTCCACCACATAACAATACCACAAAAAACAAAGCTACTGGTTGTTAGTAGCCACACCATAAATAAATTTGAGGGTCTTTTCCAAGGGTGTGCTGGTAAATGTTTAACAACCAGCTGTCCAAAACTCCCAAAAGTGTACTCTAAGAAACACTTTTATGTTTATTCTGAATTATTAACATTTTCTCCACCACTTTCTTAGTGGTCAGAAATCAACAAATAAATCAAGCCCTGATTTGTAGCTTTTGCCGATTCTGAGGTGTTAATATTCACACTGAAAATTTAACAGTTGGCTCTTAGGAACCTATGGAAGCTGGTTCCAAAACAGCACTACTCCATTTCTATTGCCCATCTCAAAAACCAGAGCAAAATCTATTTAGACCCTCCACTTAAAACAATTCAATTCAATTCAGCACCTAATTATGCTAAGTACTGGGTGAAGTACCCGAGATACAAAGAGAAGACCAGATGTAGATCCCAATGAGTCTTCTTCTGAAATCAACCTGGAAATTGTACCTCTGTTTACATGGAGAAGTTCTCTTAGTTTCTTTGGATTTTTCTTTCTTACACTTTATTTTATTTTTATTGTTATTTTATGTTTTTGCATCACCAGCATTTCTGAATGTATTCCTCCCCCTCTCCTACCCAGTGAGGCATCCCTTGTAACTGAGAGCAACAAAGAAAATGGGAAAAAATCAATTCAATGAAACTAATCAACATAGTAGCAACACCTAACAGCATATGCAATGTTGGATATCCATAGTCCTTTACCTCTGCAAAGTAAGGAGGGAGGGAGGCATATATTCTCTTTTCTAATCTAAGGCCAAGCGTGGTCATTGTAATTATACAACATTCAATTCCTGGATATTGTTTTTGTTTTGTTTTGTTTCGTTTTTAGTTTACATTGTTGTAGTCATTGTGTATTTTGTTTTCCTGGTTTTCCTTACTTCACTTGCGTTATTTCTTATGTCTTCCCATGCTTCTCTGAATTTTTCATATTCGTTGTTTCTTATGACATGATAATATTCCATTACATACATGTACCACAACTGGCTTAGCTATTCCTATTCGATGGGTACTTATGTTGTTTCTAGCTCTTTGGTACCATAAAAAGGACTGACATGAATATTTTGGTATATAGGGGATCTTTGTTTTTCTCTTTGACCTCCCTGGTGTATATACCTAGCAGTGGAATCTCTGGATCAAAGGGTATGGACATTTTTGTCACTTTCTAGGATGGTTGGACCAATTTGCAGCTCTCCCAATGTTGTATTAGTGTGCTTGTCTTTTCATAGTCCCTCTAGGATTGGTTAATCTTTTCTTTTGTCATCTTTGCCCATTTACTTGATATTGGGTGAAATCTCTGAGTTGTTTTGATTTGAATTTTTCTTATAATTAGTGATTTGGAGCCATCTTTCATGTGATTGTTAAGAGTTAACAATTATTTTGAGAAATATTTGTTTGTATCCTTTGATCACTTTTGCATTGGGAAATTTTTTTTGGCATATGTGTATTTATGCATTTGATTTTACATGTATATAATTATATATAAACTAGTATGTATATATAATTACATATCTGTTAAGTGGTTTTATATCCTGGCTACCAAACCCGTATCAGAAAATTCAATGCAAAGAATTGTTCCCCAATCAACAACTTTTCTTCTTGTACTAGCTGCCTTGATTTTATTTGTATTATAGCATTTCAATGTCAAATCATTGAAATTATCTATTTTATTTTGGCCACAAATTCTATCCTTTGTTTAGTTAAGTACGCTTTCTCTACCTGTGGCTTTGAGATGTACTTGCCCTCTTCTATTTTTTTAACGATGTCAAGTCAACAAGCACTTATTTTGTTCCAGGCACTGTACTAAGCACTGGGGATACAAAGAAAGGCAATATTCAGGTTGTACATTCATTTTGAGCTTATTGTGGTATAATTTGAGCTTATTGTGGTATAATTTGAGCTTATTGTGGTAAGATGCTGGTCTAAACCTAATTTCTACCAAATTACTTTCCAGTTTTCCCAGCAGGTTTTGTCAAATGGAGAGTGTTTTTTCAAGTAATTTATGTTTGGGGGGTTATTGAACAGTGAGTTATTGAATTTGATTGTTTCTGGTTCTTCCATATGTAGTCCATTCTATTGATTTGCTTTTATATTTTTAACCATAACCAAATAGTTTTGATTGTTACTGCTTTATAGTATAATTTGAGGTCCCCTTTTATTCCTACTTTTTGCCATTATTTCTCATGAGATTCTAAAATTTATGCTCCTCCTAATGAATTTTGCAATTATTTTGTCGAGTTTTATAAAATATCCTCCTCTGCAGTTTGATTGGTATGACATTAAACCTATAAATCAATTTATTACACTGGCACAGCCCAACCATGAGCAATTGCTATACTTTCAATTATTCAAGTCATTATTTAAATCATGTTGTCTAATTATATTTATATTCATCTTAAATGTATCTTGGTAGACTGACTTTTTGTAGATTGATATTTTATGCTTTTTGTAACTATTTGAATGAGACTTCCCTTTTTATTATCCTTTCTTATATTTTAAGAATGCATACTCACTCCTTGTTCTGGAAGTCTTACAAAGTCCTTTGACCAAAAGCAAAGCCATTCTGACCTGATCAGTCAGAAGACTGTTAGTAAGGGGGAAAAAAAGGGGCCTTGGAAAGAGAGATCATGGAACATATGATCTAAGGTAGATTTAGAGCTACTAAGGCCCTTAGAAGTCATCTAATAAAAGACACTTATTTGATAAGCAAAGAAAATGAGACCCAGAGAGGTTAGGGGATTTGCCTAGTGTCACCCAGGTAGTAAATGGCAGAGACAGGATTTGAACCCAGATCCTCAGACTTCCAATCTCTCACTCTTTCCACAGGGGGCCAAGGCCAGCCAGGCTCTGGGGTTATTGACTATGGCCAAGAATTTATTCTAGGAACTCCTTGAGATTAATAGTTCTTCTCAGCTAGGTGGTTCAGTGGATAGAGTGTCAGGCCTAGAGTCAGGAAGACTTGAGTTCAAATCCACTCTCAGACACTTACTAGCTGTGTGACCCAGGGCAAGTCACTTAGCCTGTTTGCCTCAGTTTCCTCATCTGTAAAATGGGGATCATAATAGCACCTACCTCCCAGAGTTGCTGTGAGGATCAAAATGACATTAATAATTGTAAGAGCAATTAGCACAGTGCCTGGCACATAGTAAGCACTATACAAATGTTAGCTATTATTATTATTATTGGAAGGACCCTTACAGATTATCAATCCAAGCCTCTCATTTTAAGCAGAACAAAATAGAAAACCCTGAGAAGGGAAAGGACTTGATTTAGGGCATTAGTAGTAGAACCAGGAACTAGAACCCAAATCTCCTGGCTCCCAGGACTAGGTACCCTCCCTTAAGCTGAGATTCTGGTCCAGCTGGGGCCAGGGGGCAGGGCAGGGGGAGAAGTAAATGTTAAAGAGAGAGGGACCTGGGCTAGGCCAGAGTCACATAGGGCTGGAGTAAGGAACAGGACAGGATCCTGGTATTCTGTAGGTCCTTCCATTGCCACTTTTCCATACTAATAATGTCATGTACTAATAATTTTACAGGGCCTAGTGCTCATGATACAGTGTCAGAGCCAGAAGGGACCTTAGAGACTGAATCCAGCCCCCCCCCCCCATCTTACATGAGCTGTTGTCTATCCACATTTCTTCTATCTTCTATCTTATTCTATCCTTCTATCTTATTCTATTCTTCTATCTTCTATTCTATTCTATCCTTGTGTAATTGATGTTTTGAACCCAAGTGTAGAATTTTACATTTGTCCATATTACATTTTATCTTCTTAGATTAAGGGAAGAGGCTTGCCTGTAATCACACAGTGGGTTCATGGCCAAGCCAGTAGTAGAGCCAAGGCCTGCTGACTCAGAGTTCAGGGCTCTTTCCACCACCCAGTATTGCCTCAGACCTGTTTCCCCCAAACAGGTATGGAGACTAGTGTGATCAGCCTAATCAAAGGAAAGAAGTGCCTTCTGAGTTTCTGGGTGAACATTTTCTAATTCTCTACTTAAGAGGTCCATTTAACTCCTCTAATATCTTAAGACTTTTGAGATATATAAAATGGAGCTCCATCATGCAGTAAAAAGAATGTTAGATATGGAGTCAGAGGACTTGGGTTTGCATCCTGCCCCTGCAGGGGGGCTCACTAGCTGAGTGCCCTTAATGTGAATCACAGAATCTTTCTGGACCTCAATTTCCTCATTTGACAAATGAGGACATTGGACTAGATGTCTTCAAAGGTCTAATCTAGCTCTAAATCAATGATCCTATCAATCAATTAATAAACATTTATTTAATAATAATAAATAATATTATAAATTTAAAAAATAATAATAAACATAATAACGTGCCAGGTACCTTGCTAAGTACTGGGGATACAAAAATAGGCAAAAGACAGTCCTTACCCTCAAAGAGCTTACTCTAATGGGGGAGATAACATGCAAACAAACATGTACAAAGCAATCTCTCCTATGACCCCTGCCACCAACCATTTTGTATGCTGCCATGCTCTCTAGGCCCCCTGGGGAAAAGTAAGTAGTTCTAGATGGAGTACTTCTTTCTCCATCCCCTCTTAGGCTGAGATTCTGGCCCAACTTGGGGGATGGGTGTGAGGGGAAGCAAATGTTTTGGAGAGAGGGACCTGGGCTAGGCTAGGGCCACACAAGGCTAGGGTAAGTAGCATGGCAGGAACTTGGTGTTCTACAGGCCCTCCCATTGCTATTCCCATATCCAATCTGTTCTTGCCAGTGTAAGGAGGACCTAGTGAACATC